AAATGACTACCCAAGGGTGTGCTCACTAGTTTAGCTTCATTCATGTTGAACCTCATGAGAAATTTCTTTACAGACTCTAACTGTGAAAGTTTCAATGTACCATTAGCCTGTCTCTAATGATTCTCATACCAAGGATTTGCTTCGCAGTCCTAAATCTTTCTTTGCAAATTGTTTTGATAGTTGCTTCTTTAGATTATTAATCTCCTCAATGCTAGACCCTGCAATGAGCATATCATCTACATACAATAGTAAAATGATATAAGAATTGTCAGAGGACTTAATATAGCAACAATGATTAGCTTCACATCTTTTGAACCCAATTCTATGCATAAAATTGTCAAATTTATTGTACCACTGTCTTGGAGCTTGTTTTAGGCCATACAAGCTCTTTCTCAGTTTGCAGACTAGATTCTCTTATCCCTGAACAATGAACCCTTTTGGCTAAATCATGTAAATGTCTTCTCCCAAGTCACCATAAAGGAATGTTGTCTTCACATCGAACTGCACAAGATGTAAATTTTCTTTAGCCAACATTCCCAGTACCAGTCTAGTTGTTGACATCTTTACAACTGGAGAAAATATTTCTGAGTAGTCAATGCCCTTTTTCAGCTGGAACCCTTTGACAACTAATTTGGCCATGTAACGCTTGCTGCCATCATGCTCATTCTTTATTTTGTATACCCACTTGATGTGTAAAACCTTTTTTCCTACTGGCAATTTAGTCAATACCCATGTCTGATTCCCTAACAAGGAATCCATCTCATCATTCATGGCTAACTCCTACTTGCTTGAATTTTCATCGTGCAAGGCTTCTTCATAACACTCTGGTATACCACCATCAGTCAACAGGAGATAATTTAAAGTCTATGAATAACGATGTGGAGGTCTAATGGTCCTGGAAAATCTACGGACTTTAGCTACAGGTGTACTCTGATCTACCTGTGAATCTACATTCTCCTTATCTTCTTCACCCCTTTTCTGGCCGTACTTTCAATCAATTCATCTAAGTTGACAAACACAGATTTCTTTTGATCTATCTTTGTAACATCTAACCCTGTAGTTGACCTTTCATTTACATAACCTATTAATTAAATATCACATTTCTATTTCTGATGATTTTCCTGTTTTGTTCATCCCAAAACCTATAGCCAAATTTCTCATCACCATAGCCAATAAAAAATAAAAAACATATTTTAGACTTTGCATCAAGTTTACTACAAGTATCAGAATCAATATGAACATAAGAAACACAACCAAAAACTTTTAAATGGAAAAACTTTATCTCTTTACCGCTCCAAACCTCCTCAGGAAGTCTGAACTCCATGGGAACTGATGGTCCTCAGCTTATTAGGCAAGCTGCAGTGCTAACAACATCAGCCCAGGAAGTTTTTGGTAGTCCAGCATGCAACCTCATACTCCTAGCACGTTCATTGAGAGTTCTATTCATGCGCTCAGCCACACCATTCTGCTGTGGTGTCCCTGGAATGGTCTTCTCCATCCTAATTCCTTGTACAACACAATACTTACTGAACCCTCCATCTATATACTCTCCTCCATTATCTGACCTCAAACATTTTACTTTCAAACCTATTTCTGTCTCAACCATGGCCTTCTACTTCTTAAAAGTTTTAAATACATCAGATTTATTTTTCAAAAAATAAACCTATACCTTTCTGCTAGAGTCATCAATGAAAGTAATGTAGTATCTTGAACCTCCAAGGGATACAACCGGAGAAGGATCCCATAGATCAGTGTGTACTAACTCCAATTTTTCAGCCTTCGATGCTTTGCCAATATTCAAGAAGCTCACCTTTTCTGCTTTCCTAAGATGCAGCTTTCACACCTGTCAAACTTAATGTACTTCAATTATGGTAGTTTTCCTTTTGACAGCAGCATCTTCATCCCTTTCTCACACATGTGACCAAGTATACGGTGCCATAGGCTTGTATCATTACTTGCTTCGACAACTGCAATTGTGTCTCTTGAACTTGAGGTCATATATAGAGTACCGGTCTTCTTTCCACAAGCCAATACTCTTGCTCCCTTTGTAACCTTCCAAGTACCACCAACAAATAGTATTACATGCCATTCATCATCAAGTTGTCCAATAGAAATCAGATTCCTCCATAGGTTAGGAATATGTCGAACATTCTCTAGTAACCAAACAGACCCATTGGGTAACAATATCCGGACATCTCCCATATCCACAACATCCAAGGCTGCACCATCAGCCAAATACACCTTACCAAAATCACTTGCAACATAATTCTGTATAATTTCTCGGTGTGGAGTGGTATGAAACTAAGCTCCTGAGTCTAAAACCCAATCATCAAGTGGACTGTCTACTGCAAGAAGTAATGCATCATATACCTCTTCTGTGCCATCGAACTTTTCTATTCCAGACGCCTTTCCTGCTTCCTCTGCCATTGTTCCCACTCAAACCTAACCCTAGGCTTTGTTATCAGTTGCAAGGAATCAACCCGAAATTCCCAACCTGTGAAAACACTGAATAGAGAAAACACACGTCAAAGAAAAAACAATCACACACACAAGACAATATTTTTGTGGTTCGGCCAATTTGCCTATGTCCACGGAGTTGCAGGGATTTCACTATTATCAGGGAAAGAATACAAAGTACGGCCGTACAATTTTTTCTCTCTATATATCATAAAGAACCCGAATCACCAAAACTGCATTTTCTATATATCTTTTGCATAGGATTTACAATGGGCATAAAACGGGCCAAAAAATTTTTCCCGGGGGCAGAAAATCTCCCATTAAAAAATCACGCAATATTATTCGGGTCGGGTCGTCAATCAGATCAAACAAAACTAGGCTTCACAAAGCCCAACACCTAGGTCCAGTGATATAAGTTTAAATTGTTCACTATTTTAAATAGAATTTAGTTAAGATAATTCAATATGATATTAGTATATATCAAGACGTTTCCAAATTGGAGTCTTGTTTTGAAGAATCCAAATGTACACTTAAATAGGACAAAGTTCAAAGCGGACACTTAAATAGATGTCTTGTTATGAAGAATCCAAATGTACACTTAAATCTTAATAGTGCAACAGTTCATACATATAGACAAAGTTCAAAACAGACCCCCACCCACACAACGTACTTGCTCAAAATTTCTCACTTCTTCGTAATCAAGGATTTTGCGTCTCCACAATTCTGTCTCCCACACAATCTACTTGCTCAAAACTTCACTTAAGCTATTAGAAAAGTTTCACGTGTATTTATTCGAATTTCGTCTTCAAAATTACCTATCCCGGTTGATAGTTGAAATTGTTCACTATTGCAAATAGACTTTAGTTAAGATAATTTAACATAATATCAGAACAAATAAATAAATTTCAAAATCTGAGTATTATTACAAAGATTTCAAGTATGCACTGAAATCTTTAGTTGCGTGACAGTTCACACATTTAGACGAGACTCTAATGGACCCCACACCCACACAACCTACTTGCTAAAAATTCTCACTTTTTCTTCTACTAATCAAGGATTTAGCATCTCCATAATTCCTTTTCCGAACAAATGAAATCAAATGAAATCAACTAGTTAATTTAATATTAGTAAAATAAAACATATAAAATTGTCAGTGCTTTGACAACCCAACCAAACCCTGCTTTAGATAAGCTAAGACTTCACTACTAAAGCTGTATTCCCACGTTCACTTTATAGTTAAGGATTATTAAATCAATGTTGGAACATTGTCCATACAAAAATATCATTCTTTATACTAATCCGTACATTAAGGCAATCTAAGATGGTCCGATTGTCCTCAAAATCTCAGTGATGATAGCCATTATAGCCATTGTTTATTACTAGTCCAGCATGATGTGCTCAAGAATGGAATAATGTGAAAGCTCACTTTTCTGTGGGGACATTTATGCTCATAAATTCTACAGTATTCAAAAAAGATTTAAAACATTGTTTATCGTGTTATCTCGTCTTATTCGATACCTTGATGATATTTTCTGTATCTGTAGAGAAATTATATGGTACTAGATACTAATATTAGAAGAGCAATAAGTTAAAATTTTGTTAGAGCCTGTTTGAGCCCCTTTTTGACAAAAAAAATACATTTTGAAATAGTAATTTGATGGAGAATGTGTGGTTAAAAAATAAAAAGTAGTTTTGAATTTGTGTGTAATACTATTTTATTGAAAAATGTGTGGATGAAAATAAGAGAGAAAAATGTGTTTTTAAAATAATAAGGAACAAACAATATTATCAAGTTGTATTTATGTAACAAACATGCAATAATGATTTGTTAGTAAAATAGACTCAACAATACTTAAAAGAAAAGAATAAGCTAATTTTTTAGTATGCAATAGTTGAAAGGACTAAACTATATAGAGAATAAATCAAGCTTGTTTGGAATTATTTATAAGCAATTTAAATTATAAATAGATAGAAATGAGTGGTGGATAATTTTATAAGTCTCACAAAATATGCAGATTAAAAGTAATTCGACCGTTTATAAATAATTCATAAACATTAGATAAACATAGGCTAATCTTTTGTATTAAACATGTCATAAAGGCATGTCTTGTATGTAATACTATCAATCACAATAAAGTCAAGCTTGAAGTAAGTTTTTTGACATCAGATCTTTTGAAGTAAGGACTTCTTTTCCTTATTAATACTATTCTATCTAGCTTACTGAACAAGCCATAAGGTATCAAACAACTTATAAGTAACTCGTAAGTAGTGCAGAATGTCTATTTGGCAAGGAAGAGGATGAGGAATACTAGACAGGATATTTTCACTTCAAGATTGGAATGATTTTGCACTACCAGTCAAGTTTTAACTACATCCAAAAGCAGATTCGGATTTTAGATCCAAAAGCAGATATAGATAAAATATGGATAATCATTAGCCTACCTCCAAGCAAATTTGATTGCAGGCTTACACTGCCATAACAGTATATTCTTGTTGAACAAGCAATTAGTAATATTTTGATATCCCTTGGCAGCTTCTACAGCCTATTCAGTTGATAACAGCTTATAGATGAACTTCGTGTTGCGTTTAGTGCACCATGACATCAACCGATCCTCGGAGACATTCAGTTGAAATGTTTCATTTACCTGTTATATACCAATTTCAGGCATAAGGAACTGTGTATGACTTATTTTTGACTTGTTTGGTAAAGTAGACTCTATAATACGATAATATTAAGAGAAAAAAATGAAGCAGCTAAAATCTTGTTTGTTTTAGTGTCTAATACCGTACCCCTAACATGCATTTCTTGTCATGGAGAAAGAATCTAACAATGGAACTCATTTTTGATATTTGATTTTAAATTTTCCATTCATGTGTTGAAAAGGGTCAGAGAATCAGTAAAAATCCGTCCAATACCTAACTGAATTCCAGTAAGCGGCAACAAAATAAGAAAGTTAATCTGAAACTTACGTGATATTTACCTCAAAACAGTTGTTCATTTTTAAGTAGACGCTTTACCCTCAATATTTGATTCTTGATATATCAAGTATTCGTGTCTAAAAACCTTGGCGAGTAACTAGAAGTTTGTTTGTGATTTTTGTATTCTCACACTTTCGTACATGCTTCTTTACATTAGTTGGTATCAAAGACATGTTCGCTGCTTTGAGCATGCTTTCAAAGTGATGTCATAACCGTGAAGTGAAATTGAAGGATGCATATGCTCGTGACTACATAACACAAGATCAAATAACAGTTACTGTTGGAATAACAAAGGGGAATCCAAATCTCCTTGAAATTCAAGGACAGATTTTCCACACGAGGAGAATGATGCAACCCACATTTGAAAATTACGGATTATTTTCGTAGTTTTAATTTAATTTTTTTGGCGGTAATTTAGATTGTTTTTTTAAAAACTAATACCATATATTAGATTTCTATTATGTTTGCATAAAATTTCTAAAGATGAAATTTAATGAAATGAAAATCGGGAGTTCTCAATTATGTAATGAATTCTTGGTATTATGTAGAATCAACGTGTCTTTGATGCCTAGCATTTACGAGTAAATCAAAAACAACTAAAAGATTGTACACAATTTTCATATTTCCACATGTTCATACGTCCTACTCTACATCAGAGAATAAGCCTAACTCACACAAAAGAACGAGGTTCTGGTTTGCAGAGAGAGGGGTCCAGAGCTATATTTTGCATTTCCCAGCCTGAAAAATTCAAAAGTTCATGGAAATAATCAAGCAATATGTTTTTTATAGGGTGACGTCGGGCAAAATAGCGATTATTTTGCAGGCTAGAACCAATAGACAATAACAGAGAAGGATACAAGAGAATAACACTTAAAAAAAATGAGAAAATCTTTATTATTCAACAATTGAACGAAAATAACCCACAAGTCGGGTTAAATAGCTAGAAAAATAATAATTTTCGAAATTTTACCAAAAATAGCAAAATTCTATTATTCATACCAAAAGGAAATACGTAATGAAGGAAATAAGATCCCAAAAATTTGGCTTAATTTGAGATCGTAATCTATGTGAAAAAGGAATTTGAAATATTACTAAAAATGGTAAAAAATAATTTAAATCGATGATTCGAAAGGGAAAACAGTTGAATTTGGCCTCGAAACCGATGCACACCGAGCATAGCTGGGTAACCATGACGTGCGCGTTGAAAAGAGCTTTCCGAATTGAGGTCATGGACGTGATTCTGACAACCGTAGCCAAAGTTATGTCCAAAATATCGAAACGTTTTCAAAAAGGCCCCAATTAGGAAATGTTGATGATTATTTGCCAATTTTGCATTGATCCGCCAACTCATGGTATCTCAGTACAATTAACATACTATTAGATAGCTCGGCCTCGTTTGACTCGGATCTTGTGTATTAAACATAGGCTAATCTTGTGTATTAAACATTACATAAAGGCTTGTCTTGCATGCAATACTAACAATCACAATAAGGTCAAGGTTGAAGTAAGTTTTTTACCCTATTAATTTCTCAATCCCTCTAGCTGAGTGGGAGAAAACAAATCTTTTGATCACGTCCCTCAAACACTATACACATAGGGAAGAGGATATGAGTTGAAGTAAATTTTTCTTTTTGAATAATCAAAATCCTTACCCAAATTGTACAAACTTCTTCTAGAAGACTTCTTATCCTTATTAATACTATTCTATCTAGGTTATTGAACAATCCATAAGGTATCAAACAACTTATAAGTAACTTGTAAGTAGTGTATAGTGTGTGTTGGTTTTTGATACCCAATAAATTCCAGACAATGATGTAAACGTTGGATTAAATTGTTACTAACAATCAAGTTCAAAGGCTCGATCCGAAAACAACGTAGGCTATTGAAAGTAAATTAAAGAATCAATGTTGTTCATGGTCCATATATATTATCTCTTGGATGGCTTTGAATCTTGACCAATTTAATCCTTTATTGGTCCAACTAAAGCCTATCTAACCTATATATATGGTGTCTTTGCCCTAGCCGTTAAGTGTGTGATTTATGTGTTTGAAAGGAGAAAAACGTGCGCCTTGAGAGAGCAAAAACTGGCTTCCTTCTTGCTGAAAAAAACCGGTGACTTTATTTGGTGTTTTTGGCTTCTTTTTGTGTCTCTTTCATTGGTTTTCTTCTTGCCTTTGTGGCTACAAATCATTGTCCGTTGTGGGTGAGATTGAGGAGCAACCGAGGCTAATATATTGGTTGTGGGTTGGAGCCATTTTGATTGGTTTTTTGACAGAGAAATATAATGTGAAACTGAGCTAGAAAATCACCATTTTGATGATCCTTGGAGCAAGCTATCGCGACAATGTCTATTTGTCAAGGAAGAGGAGGAGGAATACTAGACACGATATTTTCACTTCAAGATTGGAATGATTTTGCACTACTAGTCAATTTTTAACTACATCCAAAAGCAGACTCGGATTTTAGATCCAAAAGCAGATATAGATAAAATATGGATAATCATTAGCCTACCTCCCAGCAAATTTGATTGCAGTCATACACTGCCATAACTGTATATTCTTGTTGAACAAGCAATTAGGAATATTTTGATATCCCTTGGCAGCTTCTACAGCCTCTTCAGTTGATAAGAGTTTATAGATGAACTTCGTGTTGCATATAGTGCACCTTGACACCAACCGATCCTCGGAAACATTCAGTTGAAGTGTTTCATTCACCTGTTACATACCAATTTCAAGCATAAGGAACTGTGTATGACTTATTTCCGAATTGTTTGGTAAAGTGGACTCTATAATACGATAATACTGCAGCTAAATTGTTGTTTATTGTATTGTCCAATGCCGCGCACCTAACATGCACTTCTTGTCATGGAGAAAGAATATAACAATGGAACTCATTTTTGAAGAATATAACAATGGAACTCATTTTTGGCATTTGATTCTAACTTTTGTATTCGTGTGTTGAAAAGGGTCAATACCTAATTGAATTCCAGTAAGCGGCAACAAAATAAGAAAGTTAATCTGAAACTTACGTGATATTTACCTCAAAACAGCTGTTCATTTTTCTGAATATTTGATTCTTTATCAAGTATTCGTGTCTCAAAAGTTTGGCGAGCAATCTCTTCTCCTAGTCCGCTTGGTCTATTAAATCCCCGTACAAAATATTTAACTAGAAGTTTGTTCGTGATTTTTGTATTCTCACACTTCCGTACATGCTACTTCACATTAGTTGGTATCAAAGACATGTTTGCTTTGTGAGCATGCTTTCAAAGAGATGTTAGAATCATGAAGTACAATTGAAGGATGTATATGCCCGTGACTACATATTGCAAGATCAGACAACAGTTACTGTTGGAATAACAAAGGGGAATCCAAATCTCCTTAAAATTCAAGGACGGATTTTCTACACATGAGGAGAGCGATGCAACCCACATTTGAAAATTAAAGATTATTTTGGTAGTTTTAATAATATTATTTTTTTGTGGTAATTTTAGATTGCTTGTTTTTTAAACTAATACCATATATTAGATTTCTTTTATATTTGCATAAAATTTCATTATATTTCGTTATATAAAATACGATCTCCCAGGTCTTCCTGATGAATTTTAATGAAATGAAAATTAAGAGTTCTCGGTTATGTGAAGAATTCTTGATATATGTAGAATCAACATGTCTTCGATGCCTAGCTTCCTAGCATTCATGAGTGTTCAAACAGATGGAATCAACAATTTTATTTATTATACTCGATCAAAATCAGAAATTGAAATACATTGATAGTGTCTATTTATAGACGGAAAGGAAAAGAGGGAAAAATGAAAAACGAACTAAACAAACTATCTTTATTACAAAGAAGGACCTAAACTAATGTAAGATGATCAATTAGGTCCTTGAGGATTAGTTTGTGTGTAATTCGGACATCCCCCCCTTAAGTTGGATTTTGATGGAAATCCATCAAACCCAACTTGGAAACTAAGAACTTGAACTGAAGAAATGAAAGAGATTTCGTGAAGACATCCGCAACCTGAGCATTAGAAGAAACATGCCGTGGAAGGATGAGGCCGACCTTGTACTTATTACGAACCACATGACAGTCAATATCAAGATGTTTCGTGCACTTGTGGAAGACAGGATTAGCACTGATATGGAGGGCAGCCCGATTGTCACATGAGAGAGGAATCGGAAGATGAAGCTCAATGCAAAAATCTCGAAGAAGATACGTAATCCATTGAATTTCACAGACAGTGCCAGCCATGCTTCGATATTCAGCCTCTGCAGAGCTTTGCGAAACCGTTTGTTGCTTCTTCGATTTCCAGGAGATAAGAGCTCCTCCCAAAAAAATACAATAACCAGTTAAAGACTTCCTAAAGTCCTGGCAAGAGGCCCAATCTGCATCACAATAGGCTACAAGCTTGAAACTGTTGGAGGAAGGGAAGAAAAGACCTTTTGACATAGTCCCCTTAATGTACCTGAGTAAGTGCAAAGCAGATTCCCAATGCGAAACGGTTGGTAAATTAACAAATTGACTTAGTTGCTAGACGGCATAAGACAAGTCTAGCCTGGAAAGGTTAAGGTAAAGTAATCTGCCTATAAGCCGGCGATACTGATCAGGTTGTTGATATGAAACTCCATCAGCAGTGAACTTATGTCCCTTTGGCAGTGAGATATCCACAGTTTTTGATCCCATCAGATCAACATCAGCAATAATATCCATGGCATATTTTCTTTGGTTAAGGTAAAAACCGTCTATGCAACGACCTATCTCTATCCCCAGAAAATATTTAGCATGGCCTAAGTCCTTGATGGTAAAGGTAGTATCAAGAAATTGCTTAACCTTCTGAATATCATTGTCATCCGTTCCAGTGATGAGATCATCATCCACATAGACAAGAAGAACTGTAATAGCATGATATGAACGGAGAATGAAGAGGCAGTTATCATGAGCAGACTGTGCAAAACCATATACTTGTAAATGCTTGCAAAATTCTGAATTCCATTGTCGACTAGCCTGTTTTAAACCATAAAGGGATCTTTTCAGTTTACACACCTCACCTTCCTTAACCTTCTTGTAACCTTCTGGAGGCCAAAGATATAACTCTTCTTCCAGAAAACCATGCAAGAAAGCATTATTTATATCCAGCTGGTATATAGGCCAATTTTTTGCAGATGAAATGGAAAAAAACAATCTGATTGTCACTGATCTAGTTACATGGGAGAAGCTGTCCACATAATCAACTCCAGCCACCTGATTATACCCCTTCGCCACTAGCCTAGCTTTACATCTATCCAGAGTTCCATCAGGCTTCAGCTTAGCTTTATAAACCCACTTCGATCCCATGGGTTTTTTTCGTGGAGGTAGGGGAACAATCTCCCAGGTCTCATTTTGTTCCAAGGCTGCAATTTCACTCTCCATAGCTTCAATCCATTCAGTTATTGTGCTAGCCTCTTTATAGGATTTTGGTTCTTGGATTGTAGATATGTTAGCCAGAAAAGGATAGTAACTTGGGTTAAAATTTTCAGATTTATGAAGGGATAGGTATTTGGAGTGTATGAAGAAGATCTTAATATATCAGATAAATGAATAGAAGAAGAGTATGACAAATTACTCACAAAATCCTGCATCCAAGTAGGTTCAGTTTTCTATCTGTTACTTTTTCTAGTAAGAGGAACGGTCTAATGATCATCTGATTGACCTGTCTTTTCCTGACTGAGATGATAAGCAGCCGTAAGTTGGTTAATATTAGTAGAGCCATTAGATAAAAGTTGAGAATCATTTTGGTTGTCAAGATCAGCAAGAACATATGGAACTTCTTCAGAGAACAAATCAAACACAGGTATAGGTATATGAGGCTGGAAATGAGAAGCCTCTTTATAAGGAAAAACCTCCTCATGGAAAATGACATCACGAGACACAAAAACTTTTTTATTGATGAGATCATACAACTTAAAACCCTTTTGCCCTGTGTTATAACCTAGCAAAATACGTTTAAAGCTTTGTGGTGCAAATTTTTCTTTGAAAAGTTTTGTGTTAGTAGCATAACACAAACATCCAAAAACCTTCAAATTGTGATAAGTAGGCATTTTCTTATGCAAGATCTCATAAGGCATTTTCCAGTTAAGTGTGACAGTAGGCAGTTTATTAATGATATGTGTTGCCATCAAAATAGATTCTTCCCAAAAACATTTTGGTAAACTGGATTGAAACATGAGAGCTGTAGCTATTTGCAAGAGATGCTTATGTTTCCTCTCAACAATACCATTTTATTGAGGCGTACAAGGGCAACTTTTTTGATGAAGAATCCCATTTTCAGCTAAAAAATTCCTCATTTCAAAGTTTGTAAACTCGGTTCCATTATCAGTCCTCAAACATTTTATGTTTTTTTCAAATTGGGTTTTAACCATTTTGTGCAAATTCTTCAAAGTAACAAGAACCTGAGTTTAGATGAGTTTTATGCAGTTAAAGCTCGACGAACACAAATTCAATAAGTAATGTAGTAATGAAATTTTATGTTAAATACTTCATAAAAATTTGAGCTTATTTTAAATTTTAGCTCTCCCCAACATGATTTTCTAGATTCCCTAACTGGAACCACAGAAGAATCCAAATTGCATCCTTTATCCACTAATAAAAAGGATTAATCTATTTGGTAGGTGACAAAAAAATGTGTTGATTGAAAAGATAAGTTATTTTTTAAAATGTCCATTGACAACATGTGGCATGTTGTCAACCAACCAACATTGCACACCAAACATGATTCGAATGAAAAAGTCTTTACCATTGGTTGTACTAGGGATGAAAAAAGCTCGACTCCTCAGAACAATGAGGTCCAGTTTGCGGAAGAAAGCAGACTGACCATTACCATTAGTTGATGACTCTACCTCTGCATTTCATGCAGCGACTGATGTTACGTCTGCCAATCATATAAGGGTTCTGTCTGTAATGATAAGAATGAATCATTGAATACTTATAAACCTGAGCGATCCAACAAAGGGAATGGTGTACATGTTAGTGGGAAGTCACTGAAAAATGAAGTGATGCAGGAGGGTTCGAGTCAGACGAAGTTGAGTTGTCAGATAACTCATTGATGGCGCTAACGTACCATGAGTTGGCGGACCGGCGTAAGAATGGAAAGTAATCGACGACATTTCCTAATTAGGGTCAATTTTGAACACGTTTTGGTATTTTGGCCATAACTTTGGCTACGGGTGTCAGAATCACGCCCGTGACCCCAATTCGAAAAGCTCGTTTCGACGCGCATGTCGTACCCAGGTATGCTCGGTGTGCATCGATTTCGAGGTCAAATTCAGCTGTTTTCCCTTTCGAATCATCGATTTAAGTTATTTTTTTTGCCATTTATGGTAATATTTCGATTTCCTTTTTGATATAGAATAATTGCTCGATTTGAGTCGGATTTTGGTGATATTATTTCTTTTATTAAGTATTTTATTTTGGTATGAATAATAGGATTTTGCTATTTTTGGCAAAATTCCGATAATTATTATTTTTTGGCTATTTAACCCGACTTGTGGGTTATTTTCATTGAGTTGTTGAATAATAAAGATATTTCTCGTTTTTCTTTGTGTTTCTCTTGCGTTCTTCTCTGTTTTTGTCAATTGATTTCAGCCTGCAGAATAATCACTATTCTGCCGGCGTCATGAAGTAACTTACAAATTACTTTGGGAAGAAGTTGCACACCACCTATCAAATTGGCAAATACAACCAAGATCAAGTCTATTGTAATAACTGAAAATCTCACAAGTCATCCCAAATATTTTGTCTTCCTCACATGGAAAAAGTAACAGGAGATTAGGGAACATCTAGAGGGAATCATATATTAAATCCACATCATGATGCTCTCTTTATGATTATTGTGACATGGGCTTCGGTACATTTGTTAAACTGGACAGAAAGTGTTTATATTGTTAAACTATAGGTAGTTAATGCTTATATGGATCTAGTTGTTTACAGAATTCAGATGTTCTCGACTTTTTATTATACCTATAAAATACACTATGGTCCTACTCTTTAGTAGTCTTTTCGCAGGAAAAATGCTGCATTCATTA